TGGTCTCTAAGAAGGCTATCAGGCCTAATACAAATATAAAAACAACACTTCTTCATTTGATTTATTATGTGTGTGATTCTGATTTTAGTTCTTCATCCTTGTTTCATTTCTATTCACTGTGGTTTGTCTTGTGAAAAGTTAGGACAACAAATGCCGTCTTACGAAAGTGAGAGGAAAGATTCACTGGTAGTATAGTATCACTGGTCTGCAATACTTCCCAAGAGCAGCAGGGGGCAGCAGTGATTCCACCACCTGATGAATTGTGCACGGGCTTACTCAAACTTCATAAGGGAGGTAACTAGCTGAACTTTATAGCAGCCACATCCTTTTCTGATTTCAGTTCAGAATTGGGTCCCTACAAAAACCTGGACAAAATACAAACATGCAGGAGATCTTTCTATGATCCTGTGTCAGTTTGACATGTGATACTTCAGAGAGCATGATCCTGTTCAACATATCCTTTTTCACTTGATCCTTTTTCATGTGAGTGAAATGAAAGACTGTTGCTTAGAGCAAAAGATAATCTTTGTCTTTCTGGCACCTAGTGCCTGTGTGGGAGGTTTTTAAATGACACAGCACATCAGAGAGGAGAGATGGAGCTTTAAACTGCTTTAAAGTGGTTGTGTTCAAAGTCTGTGCTGAGTTTAAGTGATGCTGCTGTAACTTTAGCTAGTCAGTTCACATTTAAAGCCGTTTTAGGATGTAACCTATTAATCCAAGTCATAGCAAAGATAGAAAGTTGGATTGTTCCCTATATTGACTTGGGAACTGCTCTCAGATCGCCTTCCGTCACATATAGGTACAGAGGAAGGGATTCTTTGAAGGACCGCCAATCTAAACGGCCCATGTGAGGGGCTTGTCAATGGGCACACAGGGCACTCAGGCAGGGGTTTAGTGGAGGGTAAATGCAAGTAAACACAGTTTACCCACTTTTTGTTTTGCCCAACAGCTTACCCACCTTTTGCAGAAAAATGCATTGAAAGTATAGGAAGCGTTACTTTATTTACAGAGACTGGCGATTAGAGTTTACCCACCAATTTTTTTTTACCACTACATCACACACAGGCGGGCCTCAGAACTACATTAGGCTGCTGTTATGCTACGTTTTCTAGGGCTCCTTTGCACAACTCTACTTGTCTCTAAGGGAGTGTATACGGCAGGATATGCTAGGTTTGTCGTTAACATCTTTCAAATATTGCAAACCTTTTCAACCGTTCATGAATCATTCAAACACAACAAAGAAACACACTGAGGTAATACAGAGAGATGAAACACAGCGCTTTCTCCTCACTGAGTTATACCTGCAACACAGGCCGTTTTGTGGTCGCAGGGAAGCGGGGGGGGGGACCCAGCAAAGGAAGGTGACACCGGAGACCAGTGAACCATAAAAGGTCAACAGAATCCGGAGGAACCGGGCTGAGTGTTATTTTGTCCTGCCGGTGTGTGTGTGTGTCGCTTTAGAAGTCAAACCCCTCAAAGAAAATATAAGATCTGGGAGGATGGAGTGAAGGATGGGGAGTGGAGGTAGCCTTAATGCCTCATAAGATAGGCTTGGAGGCTTGACCCCTTAAACCTTCTTGCATGGTGGTGTGGGATTCGAATGAGAAAGAAAGTAGAACTTGGTTGCCTCTCTGAGGAGGGCTGCCGGGGGCCGGGCCGGATCCAGGGGCTTATCCATCCGATAAGGGCTCATGCCGGCCCCAGAAGTTGAATGTATCGGACTGCAAACATCACAGGGAAACAGTCAGGGGTGTCCAGTAGCGGGGTGGATATCAGCTTCAGTGTGTGACTGAGAATGGCCTGACCTTTATGGGGGGAATAGAACAGGTAATGCTGTTGTTGTATTGGTGGTTCATAACTCAGATGGCTTAGTGTGGGGATTAAAAGTGGGACTATATTTCAGGTTGCTGAAAAATCCCTTTACACTAGAAGCAACCTCGAGTAGTGTTACCCACTTTCTGTGCAGTCACACAGGTAATGGGGTCACTAAAGTCAAATATATACACTAGGTCGTTTTGGAAATGTAAAAAAAAGTGCATGCTAGAGGAATACTATGCTGGAGAGAAGCACAAGGCTCATATTGGCAGACTCCAGAATTGGTATTCAGAACACAGGAAGCTTCGGGTCAGAAACAGAGAGCAGTGACTCCAGGATTGGTATTCAGAACACAGGAAGCGTCAGGTCAGAAACAGAGAGCAGTGACTCCAGGATTGGAATTCAGAACACAGTAAGCTTCCGGTCTGAAACAGAGAGCAGTGACTCCAGGATTGGTATTCAGAACACAGGAAGCTTCAGGTCAGAAACAGAGAGCAGTGACTCCAGGATTGATATTCAGAAAACAGGAAGCTTCGGGTCAGAAACAGAGAGCAGTGACTCCAGGATTGGTATTCAGAACACAGGAAGCGTCAGGTCAGAAACAGAGAGCAGTGACTCCAGGATTGGAATTCAGAACACAGTAAGCTTCCGGTCTGAAACAGAGAGCAGTGACTCCAGGATTGGTATTCAGAACACAGGAAGCTTCAGGTCAGAAACAGAGAGCAGTGACTCCAGGATTGATATTCAGAAAACAGGAAGCTTCGGGTCAGAAACAGAGAGCAGTGACTCCAGGATTGGTATTCAGAACACAGGAAGCGTCAGGTCAGAAACAGAGAGCAGTGACTCCAGGATTGGAATTCAGAACACAGTAAGCTTCCGGTCTGAAACAGAGAGCAGTGACTCCAGGATTGGTATTCAGAACACAGGAAGCTTCAGGTCAGAAACAGAGAGCAGTGACTCCAGGATTGGTATTCAGAACACAGGAAGCTTCAGGTCAGAAGCAGAGAGCCGTGATTCCAGGATTGGTATTCAGAACACAGGAAGCTGTGTTTTGTAAATGCACAATGTGGTTGCACCTAATTTTATGGGCTGTACCAAAATGACTGCCTACAATATATACTAAGATGGAAAATGGTAATAACATTAACATATTATTCGCTTTTTACTTGGGTCTTCTTTCATCCTCATATTTGCATGTCTAATTTCCACTTCCAGATACCCGGTCTTGAAACAGTTAGAAATTATTTAAAGTAGAACATGGGTGTTCTATCCAGTTTTTACATGTTAACCAGAATAAGAATAGCATTATGAAATGTCAGCTAATCAAGGCCATTCACTCTAAATAAAGCACCATTTTTTAATCCCTTTTATTATGTAGGAATATAATCTCAATTTGATTCATTTTTAACAATCAGACATGGTTCAAGGATGGAAAACAGTCAGGTAGAAATATCACTTTGCTCAAATAAGTTTATTTAGAGATGTAAGAGACAGAGGTTTACACTAAACATGTTTTGAAATGTATATTCATAAAACATGTTTCCATACATAATGTGTTAAATACTGTGTGTATAAAAATGCTGATTAGAAAAAACAAAGAAACACTTTTGATTGAAACACTGGCTTTGTGTTGGAGAACAGGGTTCCTTGTTAGACTATCCACTAAATCTATGCCAAGACTGAGTACAGTACAGTATAACATAACAGTCAAATGTACTGTATCGTCCTCAACTCTGAGAGAGATTCTGTGATTTCTTTAACATTTTTCTGTAAAGGATGAAGAAAAATAAAGTTTATAAAGTATTTATAGTATTTTCACCTTAGCTAAGGACAGTTATTTGTCTTAGTTCGTAACTCCATATTGACACCAACTGGGTAATAATCAAAATAGCAAGAGTCTCTCTAAAGGCACGGACACACCGGTAGAGTTTGACAGCCGAGAGTACTTAGCACCTCTGAACACCAGCCGTAATTTGCAAACCGATTTTACATGTAGAAATATTGGCAGTCAGACGCCCACCAGCAGGGTGGTCGCTAAAATCCACCGCGGCGAACAAACAGCAGATGAACGGCAGATCGACATACAGTGCAGTGAGTGCGCTCCCTTATATATTGAGGTATTTTCATGCAGTGGTGTAAAGTACTTAAGTAGAAATACTTTAAAGTACTACTTATTGGTGTATCTGTACTTTACTTTACTATTTATATTTTTGACAACTTTTACTTTTACTCCACTACATTCCTAAACAAAATAATATACGTTTTACTCCATACATTTTCCCTGACACGCTAAAGTACTTGTTACATGATGAATGCTTAGCAGGACAGGAAAATGGTCCAATTCACGCACTTATCAAGCGAACACGTGGTCATCCCTACTACCTATGATCTGGCAGACTCAATAAATATAAATGCATTGTCTGTAAATGATGTCTGAGTGTTGGAGTTTACCCCTGACTATCTGTACATTTTAAAAACAAGAAAATGGTGCTGTCTGGTTTGCTTAATATAAGGAATTTGAAATAATTTATACTTCTGATACTTAAGTATATTTTAGCAATTACATTTACTTTTGATACTTAAGTATATTTTGAACCAAATACTTTTAGACTTTTACTCAAGTAGTATTTTACTGGGTGACTTTCACTTTTACTTGAGTAGCTTTCTATTAAGGTATCTATACTTTTACTCAAGTATGACAATTGGGTACTTTTACCACCACTGTTTTCATGGGAGTGAGGTCCTTGCTATTTTGAAAAAGGTTGGTGAATTTAGAGCAGTTTCATTGGCTCTTAAGGTCAGTGTCAAGTCACGATGCTGCAAAAAGCATGCCTCACCCTGGATTTTAATGGAGGCTGAACTAGTCTCAGACAGGTGTTTTTGGGCCTGTTGTCATGTCATCACATTAAATGGTCAATGCAATGCTACATTTTATTCACAGAGAAAGGCCCTTGAGTTTGTGTTGAACCTACCACTGAGTTGTTCCACAGGTTTTACAGTAAACAATATGCCATGTCATGCTGACTTTGTTTTACTACCCAAGATACATCAAAACAGCTTCATCATGTGCGAATGGTTCTGTACACGTCCATGTTATGGCATACACAGTAATATGATACAATATGGGGGTTTTCTAGGTAATCAACTAAAAGTAAATGTTTGCCTCTGTGTGTCTTTGTGACATTTCAGGGTTGACGGCGAGAGGGCGGTGATCTCCTCTTCTGCTTTGGTGGTGCTGCCTTTCTCCTGTTCCCACCTGCTGGCCCAACTAACTTTCGTGACTTTTGCTGTGGAGCAGGAGGAGGAGGAGGAGGAGGAGGAGGAATTCTTTTTTTCACACCTTCATCTGAGCTCTCATCCTCTGAAAATTAGGCAATGTGAAACTTAATTGTGGAACTTTACACACATTTGACTGGTTTTGTCATGCATTTTTTTAAAATCCACTTTTAATATCTAGAATGTTACGACTGAGATATTTGTGCTTTGTGTTGACAAGGTGTGTGCGTGTGTGTTTGTGTTTGATTATATTATTTTACCATCCCGGTCCTCAACACTGTTTGCTGCGCCACCTATTGGAAAAAGAAGCAATCACATGAAGGAATTGAAACACATTCATATTATTATTATTTTCTCATAGCCATACATTTGTGACTAAATGGATCCGATATACGGGTTATATTCCTTCACATAACAAAGGGACACCTACCAGGTCCAGTCACCCCGTTAGGTTTAGAAGCTGTTGGGAAACAAATTATAAACAGATACTTTAGATATCCACACAATTAGGTTTATTCCTTCATTGATAATTTTTGTTTACCAGTATTCATTCAGTAGTTTTATTGTGAATACAGAATGACGTAAACTCACCATCTTGTCCAACCTCCACACTTGTGCTGCTTACATCTAAGATGAGACATGTTGACATGTTACAGAGCAAGGCATACGTTTTCGGTCTAATGTTTTGTTCATTTCAAAGACATCACATTTCATTGTGTTTAATGTTGTGGTATTTGCTAATCTGCAATTATACTACACCAGATAATTAAAAGCCCTTACCAGCAGTCCCTCCATTGTAATACTGTGGCTTATCTATAAAGAAATTGCAAAAAAATTGCATAATCAAAAAACAGTATAACTATATTGCTTTGCTTCAACATTTATGTAACAAATGTTACTGTCTGCCAGCAAGCTTCACTATACTGAGGAAATGTTGCAGGATACAAGAATTACCACTAGATGGCGGTGTAAGACTAAAGGTTCCAGTATTTCTCCTCTGCTTTGGTTGGTTCTGAGTCACTGAAAGGGCTAGACAGACTTTCCTGACATACAAACCGACATGTAATTTCCGAATTGGTTAAGGTTAGGGTTAGGGACAGGGTTAAGGGGTTGGTTAGGGTTAAGAATCAGTTTTTGATTTTGGCTAGTCGGTCTGTATAGCCCTTCCCATGGGTCACTTCCAGTTTAAAAAAATATTTGTGCCTGTGATCTACACTGAGAGGCAGTGATATCTCTCTGTTCTTCTCAGGAACACTCCACAACATCCATGCACAGAACAAAACCTCACTTTATCCCAAGAGCAGGCTATCACAAAGGTGACAGGCAGCATGTTGTAGAACTAGTCATTTAACCATCATGTCTTTGGCATAGATTTTTGTAGATAAAACATGTTATTTCAGCTAATTTTAACAACAACAAATAAAGAAAAACGTAACTTTCAGAAGGCATGGTTTACCTGTTTATGCCTGACACACAAGTCGACATAGTTACACCACTATTGTACTTCCGCTCTCTTGAGAAAATTGATTTATTTGACCAATCTCAACCTTCCTGGGTTTACAAGCAAGTATGCCCAGTCTCGTGTCACAAGGGGTGGGGTCTGTGACTCAGCCGACAAACAACCATCTGACCTGGGCTAGTCAAGACTACAAGACCCACCCATATTTAGTGAGGATGATAGGCTGCATCCCAATCATCCACTCTCTTCCCGAAGTGTGTACTTGCACACTCCCTTCCATGGTCAGAACCATGCCTGGAGCTTCCCCTCTCCCATAGGTAGGACAACACACCCCTCCCCTCCCTACCGTGCTCACTATTAGGCTGGTCCGAGGAGATGGCATTCATGCTCTCTGTGGAAGAAGCAGAGATTACCATTATGAATGGGTGTATAGGACCACAGATTATAGGTAAAACTATAGGCTTATTGAGCATTGGTTGTAAAGATTCAGCCAATGAGGTGATGCTGCTCTCACCAGTTGGTGCTTCGTCCGAGGTTGAGTCCTTATCTGTTTGTGAGAAAAGGCTGGTTCAGAATCAGATAGCAATGGCTCTTTCTTTATATGGGCTATTAATGGAATGATTTTAAAGTTGCATGAAGGTCAACATAGGAGTTCAGCAAAAGCAGAACGTCTCTCAGACTTCTGTGATTACCTGTGAACATGGCTTGGGCAGCATGATCTGAAAGTATCACACAGAGACACACATAAGATACTGTAAATTGCTAATTAATAAAAGTTAATAACTACTTTCTGCTAATGTTACTGTACATACTGTTTGATTCAGCAGCTGTGTTTCTGTATTCAGTCATAGTGCCAACACTTACTGCTATTAGTATCGAGGTCAGCTTGTACTAGCACAGCTGCCAGAGAGCAGAGGATGAGAAAATTCCTGGAAACAGAAATTCAAAAGAGGAATTTAAAACCAATGTGCTCTGCTAATTGCAGACTAGATAGTAATTTAAATGTTTTTTTATTGTTACATACACCCGAATGGTGCAGTGAAATGTGTTGATTTACAGGGCCAGCTATAGTGGTACGTCGCCCCTGGAGCAAATGAGGGTTAAGTGCAGAGCACTGGCCTTGACACAGCCACCTTCTCTGTTTTAGACTGTCACTTTGATACTGCATGCCTGTCTCTGTTATTTCAAGATCATCTGTTATTCTGAATTCCAATTTCCAATCAGACTCCAAATCCTTCTAGTCAGCTGGCTGTTTTAGGAATATTTCAGTTGAAGTTCCACCCGAAGGACTTCTGAAATTGTCCACAACCTTTTCCCATTGACCTGAGAGCAGACCTGTTTCTTTAATCAATGTATCATCTTAATGTGGCATTTAATCATCTTAATGTTGCATTTTCAATCCACTTTCTATTGAAAAACCCTGGGACCTTAAAACATTTTTTTTTTTAATTTTAAAATCATTATAAAGGTTTAGTGGCATCAAAAAGAAGTACAACGCGTTAAAAAAATAATCAAATACGCTTAATAACCCTCAAACATGGTCATAATACTGATAATAGACTTACCTGGTCAACATGCCTTGAGGATAGAGTCTGGATCCTGAATTGTACCGTAAAGGTGTCAGTATTACACTTCCACTGGTCCTGACGCAGAAGGTGGTGGTGGTGCCTTTATACCTTTCCCAAAGCCCATTGGGGATGGAAGGAGGAGTGGCCTGCTTACTGTGGACAACCTGTGAAAGAAGAAAAAACGGTGTCATACCTATTGGATTTCATTGTGTGACTTAATGTAAGGATTCATATGTCTCCTAACTACATACTTTCTCTCAAAGGAATCTCTCATTCCCCCAAAAGGCACACCTAAATATCACAGAAACCTTTTGTTACATGGGGTATTTCTAACTTCATATTCCCCTCTCTTTTCTGTGTGTGTTCTTTAATCTGAAGGAGACGCTGCGCTACAGTCCCTTTAAAGTTCAGCCTCTACGCTACAGTGGCTGTCTGAGGGGGTGTTGGGAACCTGTGCCAAGTAGCGAAGTCATAGTGGAATGATTGTTAGAACTGCATCCCAAATAGCACTCTATTCCCTATTTAGTGCACTACTTTTGACCAGAGCCAATAAAGTAGTGCACTAAATAAGGAATAGGGTGCCATTTAGGACGTAACCCTGATGATGGGAAGCTTTGAACAGCCTCTTGTCCAGACCAGACTACCTGGCCAGGATTACACTACACTACTTCTTCTGAGAAACGTGTGTACTTTCCTGCACTTTAGGTTAGTGGCCGGCAGCATCTCGGTAGGAGGAATTCCCTGGTCCCAAATAAGGATCCTGGACTGAAATGTTAAACCAATTAAACAAGTAACGCAAACCCGGACTAGGGGAAGGTCAGGATAAACTGTCTGATTTTGGTCCAAAAAGTTGGTGAAATAAGGTTACAAGGGTCTGTTTCATTCGAACATAATCCTAAGGCGCTAGTTTCCGTAGATGGGCTTGATAGACTGAACCAAGATTCTATCAAACTTAACAACAGGCTTAGCTTGGCACAGGCAGATCTTACTCCTCTTCAAACTCTCTACATAGCTTATACTACCTTTTAAGTGCAGTGGACGTGGAAGTAGGATGTCATCTTGCAATGCAGACTTTGTAGTCTCAGGGTAGCTTATGTAGTCACGAGAGTTATGGAGAAGGCCTCAGGCCCTTACTGCCCTAAGGATAGTATAAGCAGGCTTTTGATTCACACATGCCACATATATTTTTTCATAATTATAAAGAGAGTCACACACAAAATACATTACATACGAAACAAAATCAAATAACAGTTATCATTTTCAGCAGCAGATACAATCGTAAAGTACAGTTAGCATTATAACTTAGTAATAAATCCAATTGCATGTCTGATGTTGTGTGAAAATGTTATGGCCCTTTTTCAACAAAACCAGCTTTTAATGAATGAAAACCGTCTCCAGCACAATACAGATAGCAATTTCCTCTGTAGCTCAGCTGGTAGAGCACGGCGCTTGTAATGTCAAGGTAGTGGGTTCGATCCCCGGGACCACCCATACACAAAAATTTATGCACGCATGACTGTAAGTCGCTTTGGATAAAAGCGTCTGCTAAATGGCATATTATTATATTATATTATAATAGGTTAAGTATAGAGTAATAGTCATTAGAGTGCAGTTGCCATGTGAACTCATTGCCCCAGTCTGAATACAATGGCAACACTGGTATTGGTCTCTGGAGAATGAAAGGCAACTTTGAGCCCCAGAATGCGGTAAAGTTTGTCCCAAAATCACCTGGAAAAAGAAGTTCCGCACTACCAGACATGGTCGATTTCACAAGCTCATGCCGCTAAGACTAATGCCCTTGTAAGTCCCACCCTCCCATTCGCATCTTGTCCACCGCCGTCATCCGATCTGCTGGGTTATTTGCTTTTTATCAGAAGGAACAAATGCCAATGGAAATGAATTGGCCGTCCTCAGACAAGACAGGAAGTCTATCCATCTGGGTTTTACCTTTCCTGGCTTTCTATGGGGAGCCGACGCAAAAAGGAAGGCTCCTCTCCAGAACAGAACAGAGGTTAGAGCGTTGACAATGGGAGGAAGGACTCCCCCTGTAGTACAGTTACATCTCACACGTCCCCTTGCTTTGGTATTTAGGCTTGCTCCGGCCCAGGTATCAAAGGAATCCTCTGTCTGCTCTCACTAAAAGGATTTCTCTCTTTAAGTGTAAAAGGATAATTAGCCGTTTCTCTCTCTCTCTCTCTCTCTCTCTCTCTCTCTCTCTCTCTCTCTCATTATGGAGCGGCTGATCAGGCCGTTTGGAGAGATCTTTTCAAGACAAACATTGGCCTGGAAAGCCTTTGAAAGCTGATAAGGTCAGATTTACATGTGCATAGGGAGGAGGAAGCCCATGAGTGCACTGGACTACTAGGGTTCCATCCCAAGCACTGAAAGGACTGGGTCCTCGCTTCACTGTACAGTAGGGAACCTCACAGAGTAAGAAAACATAAGATTACAGTACTGTATATCAATGACAGTGGCAGTGAACCCTCTTAGGGAAAGTTCATGACTGTAAACACATTATACCTCATATAACTCATTGACGTAACTATTTTTGATTTACTGTTTATTAAACAACATACAAATACTTGAGTTATTATTGATATTAATTACAAATCAGAGTATTATTTTTCAAGACAAGACATAGTGATTTACTCCTGATACATCTCGACTTTCACTGTAATAATCTGTTTTGAATACGATGTGATGACACAAGAGCAAACACTCTCAGGTCTCCAGTGTCCTCGCAGATACTATTGAATAAGATCGTTCGGTGCCAACATTGTAAATTGCCTAAAATAATTCAGCTGCAATTTCCAGAGCTTTCCGTCACCATGAAGAATCAGACCCTATGACTAGCACATACCAGACAGGATTTATTCAAGTGGGGAGGGTATTGAATGTCTTTTTAATATATAGTGTCCCGGATAGGCCTAGAATGAACCTGAATCATGATGTACTGTCTTTATTGTGCAGAGGAATATCTATGGACTGTATAATTGATGGACTCACCAACTGTAATGAACAGTATAGATACTTAGGCCTACCTATCTTTTGGGTTGTGCTGAGTGACATGTTCAACACTCGTTTATGAAGGGAACACCTATAACATATGATACAGTGAGGGAAAAAAGTATTTGATCCCCTGCTGATTTTGTACGTTTGCCCATTGACAAATAAATTATCAATCTATAATTTTAATGGTAGGTTTATTTGAACAGTGAGAGACAGAATAACAACAAAAAATCCAGAAAAACGCATGTAAAAAATGTTATAAATTGATTTGCATTTTAATGAGGGAAATAAGTATTTGACCCCTCTGCAAAACATGACTTAGAACTTGGTGGCAAAACCCTTGTTGGCAATCACAGAGGTCAGACGTTTCTTGTAGTTGGCCACCAGGTTTGCACACATCTCAGGAGGGATTTTGTCCCACTCCTCTTTGCAGATCTTCTCCAAGTCATTAAGGTTTCAAGGCTGACGTTTGGCAACTCGAACCTTCAGCTCCCTCCACAGATTTTCTATGGGATTAAGGTCTGGAGACTGGCTAGGCCACTCCAGGACCTTAATGTGCTTATTCTTGAGCCACTCCTTTGTTGCCTTGGCCGTGTGTTTTGGGTCATTGTCATGCTGGAATACCCATCCACGACCCATTTTCAATGCCCTGGCAGAGGGAAGGAGGTACTCACCCAAGATTTGACGGTACATGGCCCCGTCCATCGTCCCTTTGATTCTGTGAAGTTGTCTTGTCCCTTTAGCAGAAAAACACCCCCAAAGCATAATGTTTCCACCTCCATGTTTGACGGTGGGGATGGTGTTCTTGGGGTCATAGGCAGCATTCCTCCTCCTCCAAACACGGCGAGTTGAGTTGATGCCAAAGAGCTCGATTTTGGTCTCATCTGACCACAACACTTTCACCCAGTTCTCCTCTGAATCATTCAGATGTTCATTGGCAAACTTCAGACGGGCCTGTACATGTGCTTTCTTGAGCAGGGGGACCTTGCCGTCGCTGCAGGATTTCAGTCCTTCACGGCGTAGTGTGTTACCAATTGTTTTCTTGGTGACTATGGTCCCAGCTGCCTTGAGATCATTGACAAGATCCTCCCGTGTAGTTCTGGGCTGATTCCTCACCGTTCTCATGATCATTGCAACTCCACGAGGTGAGATCTTGCATGGAGCCCCAGGCCGAGGGAGATTGACAGTTTCTTCCATTTGCGAATAATCGCACCAACTCGCACCAAGCTGCTTGGCGATGGTCTTGTAGCCCATTCCAGCCTTGTGTAGGTCTACAATCTTGTCGCTGACATCCTTGGAGAGCTCTTTGGTCTTGGCCATGGTGGAGAGTTTGGAATCTGATTGATTGATTGCTTCTGTGGACAGGTGTCTTTTATACAGGTAACAAACTGAGATTAGGAGCACTCCCTTTAAGAGTGTGCTCCTAATCTCAGCTCGTTACCTGTATAAAAGACACCTGGGAGCCATACTTATTTCCCTCATCAAAATGCAAATCAATATATAACATTTTTGACATGCGTTTTTCTGGATTTTTTTTTTGTTATTCTGTCTCTCACTGTTCAAATAAACCTACCATTAAAATTATAGACTGATCATTTCTTTGTCATTGGGCAAACGTACAAAATCAGCAGGGGATCAAATACTTTTTTCAAGTCAAGATTTTCTATCAATAGGCCTATTGATTATCTAAAAAGTACTCCTGTTCCCTTTATGGTACAGACAGAGAGCACTTTGTTTTGGGGGAAATTGTATTGCGCAACAGCACTGGATTAAACTTTTTACATATATCAAGGTCAGTGTAACAAGAACATTGTGCAATGCAACCATATTCCAGACTACTACAGTCTGTGAACTGTCTCGTCAGATAGTCCTTCATTGTCCTGACCAATGGACAGACTGAACACTTCTAACAGTTGAATGTAGGCCTACATAGGCATACACTTAATTCATTTCACGATTTAATTGTATAAACTACTATATGTAATGGTGGTGTTTGGTTTGGTCTTGTGGCGCAGGAGATCCAGGTTCGATTCCCCGCTGGTTGGTACCGTGACTTGGATTGTTCTATGCGAAGAAGAGGGGGTCAAGGGGTGTGAAGTTGCAGGTGGTTCGGTGAACCATGCTTGAATGATGTGATACAGTATGTCCTTGCCTGATATCTGAAGACTTGCAATAGCTCTGCGAGTGAATGCTTTGGCTTGGCGAGCTAACACAGTATTGTGGTAACATGTTGTTCACTGCCTCCAATTTCAGTGTGCGGTTTACTAACATTGTTGCTTTGCCCTTGGCTCTGACCTGCTTTTACTACTAGCCTACTTGTCAAACTATGTAGTACCTATCAAATGAGTGCAGACATGCGCCACCCCGAGGAGTGGAGGTCTTGAGTAACTGCCCTTCTTTATCTCAAACTGGTTGCTGGAGTACAGTGTCGCCATATTGTCATCCCGAAGCTCTGAGAGGTAATATACTGTATATTTTAATCGATTTTACCCGAGTTTAATTGTCCCTTTTCACCTAGAAAACATATGAATGGTTAGAGTCGAGTGTAGCTTTCAACACTTGTTCTGTCGGGCATACATTATCGTCTCGTGGAATGGATGTGGTAGCTTGCTAGCTAACTCACTGTGAAGTGAGTTTTTCCCCGACCACGGCTTGCTTGTGAGCGGCTAACTTTAGTCAGTTAGCTATCTCTTATCGTTGTGGCAAGGCGTAAACCAAGGCACCAGGATCGAAATAGCTATGAAATATCCTACTCACGTAGTTAAGAACATAACACACACTAGCTTTAACATTACTGAAATCCGTATATGTGGGAATTTTACTATGGGGAACCACTGGTTCCCGTTGGCTTGGCTATGCTATGCTAGGCTCATTAACTAATCCCAGACCCAGACTTGATTTAGCTAGGAAAACCCGAGGCTTGTGCGGCCTTGTGACCGTGCGGTTATCAATCAATGAAATGTGCTTTTTGTTAACGCCAACAAGAAGACCACTGTGATGGGAAATGATGTCCTTAAATGTGTTTGAACCTTTTAAAGATGTTTCCATTTTTAAGCTATAGCTACTACCAGGAACTAGCAAAGCATTGGTGAATATCTAGCTAGCCGGCTAACTAGTTGATGCTGCTGCTATGAAATAGGTAGCTAACTACTAGTACCAACTAATCTTGGTTAGAATGATATATTTAGGGATCTATTGATTAACTTTATTGTTGTATTCATTTAGTGCCTTGTACAGGCGAATGACCAACTCATCTAGCTAGCTAGTTGGGTTTACATTTTCACAGCTGACTTTCTGATAAATGTTGAGTCAGTCTGAAGCTAAAGTAAAGAGGACATTTTGTTCAATAGCTGATGTAGCTACCTAATTTATGCAATGTCTCTTGTCTTACTACTTACTACTGTTCAATTAAAATAATGCAAATGTTTGCTTCTAGAAGCCATTAAATGAAATGATTAACAACTCATTAATTTATTGAATGACCACAAGCTTGGTGCATGCTCTGGCTACATCTTGTAGCTAATTGTATTACAGGGGATTTATAGCAAGGTAAGTAGCTAACGTTAGATATCTCATTTTAACATTTATATTTTAGTCATTTAGCAGACGCTCTTATCCAGAGCGACATACAGGTGCAATTAGGGTTAAGTGCCTTGCTCAAGGGCACATCGACAGATTTTTAACCTAGTCGGTTCTGGGATTTGAACCAGCGACTTTTTGTTACTTGCCCAAAGCTCTTAACCGCTAGGCTACCTGCCGCCACATCTCTTGCAATTGATCTCTTTCTGAGTTCAATTAGGTCTAACACTATACAGAGTAACTTCTGATAGGAAAATTAAGGCAATGGAACCAAGGTCCACAATGTAGCTAATATGTTAGTTATTACTCATGTAGCCCAATTCTAGAAGGTCAATGTTCCAGATCACATTTTTGTGCTTCACTTCTTGGTTTGCAATGGTAACTGTAATGGTAACTAGGCCTAGCCTACATTTTCCGTATCGCCCCCTTACAGTTCAACCTCCAACTGAAAAGCCATTTGATTTGATACCAAACCCCTCCTGCCAATATACCCTTCTCGCGCTGAGTAGCTCCTATAACTACCATTCAAGGTGAAACCATGTTACCTGGACGGAGATATTTGTCAGCTGCTATGTAGGCTAGGTGTACTCTCACGGATCATGTCTGCCATGATCATTAGGCTAATGCCCCTCTGTCCTTCTATTGATTAAACCCAGTTGTTTTACCGTGCTATCTGTGAGAAAGAAAATCTGAATGTAGCCTATGTTTTGATCAAGCCTAGGTCTCATTGGTTTTTCCTTTGAATTTCTTGTGTATTTTAGATTTGACTCCCTAGCTTTATATTTTCCCTTTTTAATCTACGAGGTCAACAAAGATCTGCCATTGAGGGGCTGGCACATGCCTTGTGACTGGCTCTCATTTTGACAGAATCATGTGATCTGAAGTTAGTTTAGCCATGGTACTTACTGTTGAACAAGACTGCTGACTTTAAGGTAGTGTGGAAGCAAGTGTGCTTGTTGGAAGGGGGGCTTTGGAATCTCTGGAATGGTATTCAATCCAAAAAGTAATGCTGCAAAACACAGTATCTGTTGTTTCTGGTTCACCTGGTATAATGCACACGTCTCTGTTACATTTTTCTGTTTTGCGGTGGCTTTGGCGTTTTTAGTTTTTTATTTATTTGTATTTAACCTTTATTTAACCAGGTAAGCCAGTTGAGAACAAGTTCTCATTTACAACTGCGACCTGGCCAAGATAAAGCAAAGCAGTGCGATAAATACAACACAGAGTTACATATGGGGTAAAACAAAACATGGTCCTCTGTAGCTCAGCTGGTAGAGCACGGCACTTGTAACGCCAGGGTAGTGGGTTCGATCCCCGGGACCACCCATACACAAAAATGTATGCACACATGACTGTAAGTCGCTTTGGATAAAAGCGTCTGCTAAATGGCATATTATATTATTATTATTATTATTATAGTCAAAAATACAACAGAAAATAAATATATAGTGTGTGCGAATGTAGTAAGTTATGTAGGTAAGGCAATAAATAGGCCATAGTGCAAAATAGTTACAATTTCTTATTAACACTGGAATGATAGATGTGCAAAAGATGATGTGCAAATAGAGATACTGGGGTGCAAATTAGCAAAATAAATAACAATATGGGGATGAGGTAGTTGGGTGGGCTAATTACAGAATGGCTGTGTACAGGTGCAGTGATGGGTAAGCTGCTCTGACAACTGACGCTTAAAGTTAGTGAGGGAGATAAGAGTCTCCAGCTTCAGAGAGTTTGAGTGGAATGTCTACTTGTTTCAAATTTGGTAGGTGAAGCCATTGTGAGACTGTGTGCATTGTCATAGTGTGAGGTAATATGGGGTTGTGTTTCCCTTTGTTGCAGTAATGACAGGTTCAATGCCAATTAGGGTTGGGCGATTATTAGGATAGAATAGGATATAGAAGATGATTGACGGCCATTGTCGATAGTGACGTCATCGTGATGTGACAGACTATGTAGCCTATTTCAACTTGACTGGCACCACACAGTACAGAGCTGACCGGGCAGCCAGCAGCAGGGCCATGCCAAGTGGCCTATTCCTTTGTTATAGCCTGCATAACCTATTTCAATAAATATGGTATAAACTATTTACAGAATGCAAGAGAACAATGTAGACAGAGCTAAGATTTTCAATAAAGTTGCGCAAAATGTCAGAAAATGTTTGGTTTTTTCTCTCTTAATGTCGGATGTTCTTGGCCATATAGCCGAAGTCTATTAAATTTTTTATAGCGGACACTCCAGTGTCTAATTATTGAAATGTTGTATTTTCTCTCCATTTGATATGAATATGACGTCAGTTTTTATAAATGTTGGCTTTCTCCCGCCTCATCCCACCGCGCTACTTCATGATCCCGTGTGGCTCAGATGGTAGAGCATGGCGCTTGCAACGCTAGGGTTGTGGGTTCAATTCCCACGGGGGACCAGTATGAAAATGTATGCACTCGCTAATTGTAAGTCGCTCTGGATAAGAGCGTCTGCTAAAATGACTAAAATGTAAAATGATCAAACAATGAATTTATCTAACGGCGTTCTCAACGTTTTAAGTTGTTTTTGAATAACCCAAAAACATGATGGGCCTAAGTTAATGAGCGGTAGAACAAACAACAGCAAGATAGTTTGAACAAACCTTACAGTTGAGCAAAGATTAGTCTATTATAAAATAAATGATACATGCATCCCTCCTACTTGCCGTTGTGAACCAAACGGCCAAAAGCCAAATCCTACGAATTAATTCTATCAAAAGCATTAAGACAGTTAAAGTTATGAAGAGTATTTTCCAAATTAGGTTATTCTAGTCAAATGTTTAATGTCCTAACGTTGCAGTATTCAAATGGGAACAATTGTGAAAGTCAGTCTATAGGCGATTCTCTATCACAGCTTTATTTTGAATTACAAATATTAGTCAAATTGAGCAAACAATATCAAGATGTAAAAATCGAATGAGAAGTCAGAAGAACTTGCAGCTAAACAAAGCTTATAAAAGAAACGGTGTAAATTGGGCCTATTTCCTATTATTAGCAATGTATAGAACCTAAAAAGAGAGGAAGATTAGGCAAAAATGCGAATCATTTGAATAATTATCCAGTTCTGGGGACAGTAGAGTTGTGCTCTGCAGCCGGGCCTTTCATGATTTACAACCCATCACACATACATGATTTACAACCCACGCACACCTCTTTCATGACAACGGAGAGAAATAGGCAACTAAAAAAGATTTGGCTCCAAAATATTTTTGGTCAATCTTCTCTTCCCTCCTGTAGCATGCGAGCTCGTACCAGCTGTCTTTTTGTGTTATTATGTAACTTTTTTTGGGGGGGGGTTGACCAGTAAGGGGCGATACCATCGTATATCACAATGTTTTATTGCTACTTAGTCACGATAGGAGAAAGGTTAACATCACCCAACCCTAATGCCAATGGGAAAGTTATGAATATGATATAAATAATATGCTAATAATGCATGATGATGCTTCACCGGGGGTAGTCCCACTGACCTTTGGACACACCGAAGATTCATTATTATTATTGTTATTATTATAGAAAATTGAATGACTTCAATTTGGCCTAGGTCTAATTTATTTATTAATGTGGGGTAGGGGATATGATTCCTTATTTCCTAGAATTCATCAACATATTGCCATCTAGCCTTTTGTTGCATATAAGTGGAAAGCATCTTCCATGAACTAGCCTTGCCTACATTTCCTTTGAAATGATTTCTGTAGCATGCTACTGACCTTTTATGTTATCATCGTGGTTATCAATGATTAAAACATTTGAAAAACTTGGCCTCACCATATAAAACACAGACATTAAACACCATCATGAACACATCATTCTCGAGATCATTAAAGAAACCATACAAAGTACAGAAGTGCTACTGTACCAGTGTACTTCCAAGTTCATATATATATATTGCTTCATTGGTCTAAAACCATAATCATCATCTTTAGCTCGTATACCGGGTTAAATAAGGGTCAACAACATTCACCAGAGGAAGGACACAAGGACCTGTTCTGTGTTCTTATAGTGGGCTGCAATTATTATACCATTAGGTCTGCAGCACACTGCATGCATCACAGTCTCAGAAATAAGAGTTCTTCTGGCAACAGTTAATGCGCCCACATACCAGGGTTTCTGTTAGCCGGCTATTGCTGATAAATAAAACTGTTTCCAGCCAAAATGATTGAAATAAAGGATAATAAATCCAATTGCAAAATAATACTTTTATTCAGTGATGGAATACCAGTCGATGGAAATGCATTTGACCGTCAATGCTTATCGGTCTATAGGTAAATTTGCATAATTTAGTGAAATTAAATTGGTCTGTGTGTATTTTCATTAGTCATCATCAATGTTCCCTCTAAGCTGCCGGACTGCCACGCAGAAGAAAAATAAGCCTGTGCAGATGGGCACGAGATTTAACTTTCTACAGTTTTCCCCTTTAGTGAACACTATTAACATTTCACTCTACTATGGGAATTGTAATCGAATCAATGCAATATTAGCCACTTTCAATGTAACATATTGATACAAAACAAACTTTGCAAGATTTAGTATGCAAAACTAACTGTGCAAGAGATTTTCTTGTAGGCAGAGTGCGTTGGAGTAGGATTCAATTGCGTTGACAGGCAGGACTCAGGCCCGTACTCTAAACAGACCGGTGCGCCATAACCAATCAGAGCTGCAGTAGGCCTATATGCAAATAACAATTGCCATATATGGATCTGTGCCTTTCAATTTGAACTGGACGATGTTTAGGCTACAGTATAAGCGGTCGTGAGTAGATGTGCTTGTTTTGAGATCAAAGTGAGAGCTGCATGTAGCCACTTGTGCACATTTGTTCATATTCTTTGTGAGTTATTAGCCCAGTTATAGCTCATTTCTAGTCAACAATGGGGGAGTGGTGGCTTCTAACGAGCACAAAATGTGTGCATTTCTAGCCATCTTTGAAAAGCGAGTCAGGTAGACTCTTAAAGGGGCAGTGTATTTTGAGACAGTCTTGAATAAGCGAAGTAGCCAATAGGCAAAGTGTAGCATAATTTGTCTGATTCTCTGTATTAATGGTATGGGAATAATACATTTTATTTTGTAAAGTGTTTTCTCAATCAATCAATCCAATTTTATTTATAAAGCCATTTTTATATCAACAGATGTCACAAAGTGCTATACAGAAACCCAGCCTAAAACCCCAATCAGCATGCAATGCAGATGTAGAAGCACGGTGGCTAGGAAAAACTCCCTAGAAAGGCAGAAACCTAGGAAGAAACCTAGAGAGGAACCAGGCTCTGAGGGGTGGCCCTTTTGGCTGTGCCGGGTGGAGATTATAACAGTACAAGGCCATTAAGGCCAGATTTTTCTCCAAGATGTTCAAACGTTCATAGATGACCAGCAGGGTCAAATAATAATCACAGTGGTTGTAGAGGTTGCAACAGGTCAGTACATCAGGAGTAAATGTCACTTGGCTTTTCATAGCCGGGCATTTAGAGGTTGAAATAGCAGGTGCGGTAGAGAGAGAGTTGAAAACAGCAGGTCTGGGACAAGGTAGCACGTCCGGTGAACAGGTCAGGGTTCCACAGGCCTACATTATGATCAAATAGCCACAGTAGCCTACTTGACCACTGTAAAACTGTAACTTAAAGCAGGTACAGCCTCGGTGTTCACAGTAGACGCCTGCCGGAAGTTACACAGAATGTTCACAACATTCAAGTTTGCGCTCAACAGATTTGCTCAGTGGTGGAAATTTTTTTAGAGGGAACATTTGTCATCATGTATCTTATTTATCCAACACAACTATCACACGCACAGCATACAGAGCCTATTTTGAGCGGGATTTCTCCTGCTGCTCCTCAGCTGGTTGCGGCTGGAGTAAAACATGCTTTTATAAGTCCGTTCATTGCGCAACAATTCTAAATGCAATCGAGGGTATGAAAGTTGGTGCACAATTAAAAAAAATAGCTACTATTTTTATTTCTCAACTGGTAATTGAAGCGCGCCTCCCATTCACCATTCAAGTGCAGGCAACAGGCTATCAGCGAGTCACCCACCACTTTACAATGTGAGCTGGAGGCTGTATGCATTTTGAAAACATGCTTAAGTGTTTGAAACCTGAATGTTTTATTACATATTATGAGGCATGTTTTACCTTGCTTCAAAGTAGCCTATAGGCAAAATCATGGAAACGTGGAGGCAATTATTTTATAAAGACTTCTTAGGCGGTACGTGCGTTTCAAGTTTGGAGACGCTTACAATTGATCCTACCATTTCTACCGTTCTGCGTGCCAGTGATGATTTTCGTGGAACAGATTATTTTAAATAATAAAGTTTTTGTTTCTCAAAATCATTGTCACGTGGTTAATCATAAAAATTTGAATTAAAGTGATAAAAATAGAAAAGTTAAAAGTAAACTAATGCGAGGGGGAGATTGTTGGAAAGATTTTTCAAATAGCTTACTATGAGGAAATATATTAGGGTTTCCCAACTGGCGGCCCGCATGCTGAATTTGGCCCGCGGGTAGTTTTATTTGACCCCCCAAGTTTTCTGAGCAAAAAAAACATTAAATTTTTTGTTGTTGTTGTTGGACATAAAAAAAAAAAACTGTAAAAACACCAGGAACTCAGCTCTGTGATTTTAATTTGGGAACTCTTTTCCCAAGTATTTCCACGCATCATAGAGAGACACGTGATCATATACAAATGTAAGCAAGGTTTGAAATGATGTTTTAGTCAAATATATCTGTTTGGGCTTCTTGCGGTCAATTTGCGGTCTACAAATGATTTGTAGTTATGTTCCGGCCCCCGACCATCTGCTCAATAAAAAATTGGCTGCGGCTGAATCTAGTTGATGATCCCTGAACAATAGTTTTAATATATTATCATTCACAATGGATGATAAAAAAAAAACACTTTCCTACATTTCCGCACAGCAATCCAGGTACTTCTATGCGTGCTCAGCCGTGCACGCTCCCTCCACATCAGGACAGAGAAACCAGACACATGCTCATTGCTCACATGGACCACTCCAAACAAAAGACAATAAAACAATTAAATCTCGTAAATGATGGCTATGAAATCAACCAAAACTTGTTTCTCACAAGTGTAGCAGGTTGTGAACTCTGCAAACAACCGTTTCCACTCCGTGAATGACAACGGTAAATCACTGTAATACATTCATTAACAGAAAAAATTTAACCAAATGACAGGGATTAACGATACATTTACTACTGGTGACATATGTAATGGGGAATTGCAAAAGATCTAAGGGCAAATAATTCACACAATGAAACAATGTAAACAATGAATGCACAAGAATTGCCGGGAGACAGCTGAGCCATTCTGCAGAGAGACTGGCCTATATCTTCACCACACACCCCTCCCCTTCTTCTTGTCTCAACATAAAAAATTATACTCACACATATTTTAGATGGTTTTCACTGACAGCGAAACTCAATAATCAGCTAGGCCTATTGCCACGCACGCTGCCCAAATTACAGGCTTCTCAAATAGGCAAAGGCCTAAAAGCTTGTGATTTGAAACAATCCACAGCTATTTTTTAAAAGAAGCTACATTTTCAATTCCTCTTTGGCTATGTCATGCTTTCTGGTGAAGTATTTTGAATTATTTGATTTATTTCTGTATAGACAGAAGTAATTATATCATTCTGGTACATTATTTCCATTGACTTCCCAATTGGACCCACCACTATGACATTTCTCTCCTGTTCTATTCGTTTTCATATCAACTTTCTTTTACATTTACATTTTTGTCCAGAAGCCAAAGTCACAATCCTAGTCATATTAGCAACCCATTCGAGTTGTTGCATCTTTACATTCCCCCTCTTTCTAAGTTTCTAACAGAGATTTTCATCTCTTGTCACATATGGAACCGCTATAAGGTGCACTGTTTAGAATGGAATTTTCCCAGGTGCGCTGTTTAGAATGTTTTCTCATGAATTGCATTTTGGCAAATGTTAAAAAAGAATGTTTTATTGGCTGCTTCATTACACGAGTTGCATGTTCTGTTAACATGCATTACCATAATCTAAATGTGATTTTTGTAATTCTTAGCACACTGTGGGTGGACACCCTAGTGCAGGGTTCTTCAATTCCGGTCCTGGAGGGCCGAAACACCTCTGTTTTTCATCCTCTCCTTCTAATCAGGGGCTAATTCAGACCTGGGACACCAGGTGAGTGCAATTAACTACCAGGTAGGAATAAAAAACAGAAGTGTTTCGGCCCTCCAGGACCGGAATTGAAGAACCCTGCCCTAGTGGATTACGCACCCAATACATATGGGTCCGGTAAATTTCTCAAATGGCCGGTAAATTAAAATGTTCCTGGTCACGTTGTCCTGCGCCACGTTTTCCTAACGAAAACCCTGCATCATACATCAGTTCAGTTTGCTTCTAGCAGAACTCAGCTAGGCGAAACAAACGTATGCGCTCGCATATCCTACTCCCCAAAGACCTTAGCTTGAAAAATGTGAATCATGGAAGTTTGGCGGTGTCGCCGCACTGGTCCATCCATGTTAGCGCGTGTGTTTCTGTCTGTTTGATACATTTCTATGGTCTTCTGTTCTCCCCCGACCCGCAGGTCCTGAGGAGAGAGCCTTTGCGTCCACCTGAAGATGTCCGGCCCGGTCACCAGCCGATCCCGGGTTTACCCCGACGTGAACACACAGAGACCCCGCGAGTACTGGGACTACGAGTCACACGTTGTGGAATGGGGGTGAGCTGAGCTAGCCATCTGATTGGTCGGTGGCAGCACCACACCCTTACCCCATTCAGTGTCAGATACAGCAGCAGAGTGATTCCTCACGAAACCAGGACCAAAAAATATACCATGATTTTCACAAAATGTAATGCATAGAATGGTCCTTTGGAGGAAGGGTTGTTGACATATATTTGACATTTGATTCTAAAAGCATAATTCACCATAATTCGTGAGGAATCACTACAACAGAGACTTATCAGGGTCAAGTTCAGCAGAGCAGGGCACAACTGTGTGGAATTGGAATGTTCAGATATAAATATATGAAGTAGAACAAACATTAATCTCTGAAATGTAGAGTAAGGTGTCATGTCGGCTCTTCATGACATTTCTATCTGCAACATTCCACAATGTTTGCCTACTGAACATGGCCCTGGGGCGTTGCAGGTCTGATTTTAAACGTGGAATGTGCCAGCTTTATCAACATGTATCACAGTGTTAACTATCAGTTGGTGGAATCAGGGTTTATCTGTGTTAACATTGTTGTGAATATTACTCATTGTTATCTGTCTCTGTCTGTCCCTCAGGAATCAAGATGACTACCAGCTGGTGCGAAAGCTCGGCCGGGGCAAATACAGCGAAGTGTTTGAAGCAATCAACATCACAAACAACGAGAAAGTAGTCGTCAAAATACTCAAGGTACTGGTGCTGGACTTCACTCCATTGAGACCCAGTGTGTTTCTTTCAAATATATATTTTGAATGTGTTTTTGACCCGTTTATTAAGACCGTTGGAAACAGAGGGGGAGACAGGCTTGTAGGAGTAACAGTAGGAAGGGTGGACGTGGGGATGGAATGTGTCTCAATTGGGGAGAGACATGTATGTGGCTGGGGTCAGGATGTTTTACCGCTAGACCACAGGCTCTGACCCAAAGTTACTGAAGCTGTGGACGGGCTAGTCTTTTACCTGTTATTTGGCCTATAGACCATATTTACTGAGTGATGCTTTCTATATGGGCCCTATAGCAGGGTTGCCCAAAGGCGGCCTATTTGGCCCCTCAAGTTTTCTGAGAAAAACAACAACCTTTTTTTTTAAACCACATTTTCATTGTTGGACATTAACGACTGTAAAATCACCAGGAAATCAGCTCAAAGTAATTTGTGGAAATCTGTTCCCAAGTATTCCCACGCATAAATGGAGGCATATGTGATCATATCCCAATGTAATCAATAAAAAAATCAGCCCCCGGCTGAATATAATCGAGGACCCCTGCCCTGTAGTTTTTCTCTGTACTGCTCACAGCATGGTATTTCACAGAAGCTCTGTCAAACATTCTCTTTGCGCCAATCTCTCGCTCTGTTCTTCTCTTGTGCCCAACAGCCAGTAAAGAAGAAGAAAATCAAGCGAGAAATCAAGATTCTAGAAAATCTGCGAGGCGGCCCCAACATCATCTCACTTCTAGACATCGTCAAGGATCCAGTGGTCAGTTTCATCAACCTACCAATAATACATGCCATCATGCTGCTCGGTACATATCATATGAAATTTTGGCTACCACTCTCGCTGAAAATCCAGCTGAATCTGGTATGCATCCGCTATTTAATGATAGTTTATACTGAACATATTTGGTCTCATTTATTATTATTTTTAATAACTTTTTGTTTTTGTGTTTTTCATTGCAGTCTCGGACTCCAGCTCTGGTCTTTGAACACGTCAACAACACAGACTTCAAGGTAAGAAGAATCACTGTCCTTTTTATCCAGTCAAAATGGAAGCCGAAGCTTTGACCACATGCCTCTATTACATCTCTCACAGTGGCATTCTGGTGAAATGTGTTGAATTTTTCTTCTCTTTTTGCAGCAATTGTATCAAACGCTATCCGACTACGACATACGGTTCTACATGTACGAGATCTTAAAGGTAAGACCTCATTATTGTACCCTATAACTGGTTGTGCCTCCCAAATGACACCCTATTCTCTCTATAGTGAACTATAATAGAATATGGTGCAATTAGGTACACAGTCTGGGTGAGCGAGACAGGAGCTTCGATTCCCCCCGATTGAAAATAGCCTGAGGTGTTGAAGTGTTATGTTGGTCAGGACTTCAGCTGTAAGGCACAGCACTGTAGGGTTGGACGATATTATAGGATATAGAAGATGATTGACGGCCATTGTCGATAGTGACGTCATCGTGATGTGACAGACTATGTAGCCTATTTCAACTTGACTGGCACCACGCAGTACAGAGCTGACCGGGCAGCCAGCAGCAGGGCCATGCCAAGTGGCCTATTCCTTTGTTATAGCCTGCATAACCTATTTCAATAAATATGGTAGAAACTATTTACAGAATGCAAGAGAACAATGTAGACAGAGCTAAGATTTTTTTTTTTATAGCGGTCACTCCGGTGTCTAATTATTTTAAAAGCCACATTTTGCCTAAAGCCTAATCCCTCCCCACCCCTGCTGTCGCTGAGGGCCTCTCGCTCTTCACCGTGGCGATAAGCGAACCCTGAGCAGGGCAGGCGAGGGAGAGGCGAGCCATGTGGAGGAGTCGTGTTAAAGACAAGAGGATTTATCTGAGTGGACCGGCCTGACACTTCGCCTCTCTCTCTCTGCTCCCAGCCTCAACCCCAGCCAAACCCATCTCCAGCCCCTGCTCAGCCAGATCACATACGCTGCTGCTTTTGAACTAACTAACGACTATGTCTGAGTCTTCATGAGTTTGTTATTATTATTCAGTTGTTTACACTGTAGCCTTTATGGATGGATCAAAACCTGCAGGTTTTATATTTATTTTAATAGCATTTTAAGCATTTACCCGTTGACTGGATCTCTGAGGACAATGGGAAGATATTGGAATTTTGTTTGTCCTCAGCATCTTTCTCGTGAAGACACCTGACATAAAAAAAAAAAAAGGTAACTGGCTCTAAAAATGGCTGCCGGTGGATTACAGTACTATGGACAGGGTTCACGGAGGTTCGCTGCTCTACGACAGCTCTGTCTAGACAGTGGTAGCAGCCTTGTTTATTCCTGCTGCCAAGCTGGTGTGTGCTAAAGCTGGATCACTGAAAGCTCTCCCCAGCCCACAAGCACGGAAAAGCATCTGCTCCCATCCTTATCCCACTGACTTGGCCTTCTCGCATATCTAGCGCTCTCTCTCCCTGGCCTCACTGATGAAAGATCAGCTAACGTAGCTGTCAGAGGTCAGGATAGAAGCCAGGATCCATGGTTGTTGACCTATAGTAGTATTAGTAGTGGTTCCCAATCACGGGACAGTACTGCTGCCTGCAGCTCTCCAGGAGCAGGGTTGATGAGGATCACTGGCCTATAATGTTCATGTTTCATCTGCACAATAGGTGTGTTAGCCAAGTGTTTTCCATTATGTTTATGTCAGTGGGACTTAATGCAGCCATAAAGATGACTGGCAAGGCCTTTCTCCCCACTTAATTGGCTGGAATACGTGAGCGGGACCTGTGAGCACCGTGGCTATGTTCCGGGGTGAGTTCAGTAAGCACAAAACGGAAGGAAACGCTCACAAACTGGGAGGTACTATCTGAACATGGCCAATGAGAAAAGCTTGTTTTTGTCACAGTGTGCCGTAGTGAACATGAGCCAGTTGTCAGCTGTTTCTCCTCTCTGTTCCCACCCACAGGCCCTGGACTACTGTCACAGTATGGGAATCATGCACAGAGACGTCAAGCCACACAACGTCATGATCGACCACGAACACAGAAAGGTACTGGCCTATTAGTCTCTTTTCCCTCCCTCCTTTCTCTGCTCTGATTGGCTAATGTACGTATGGTCACAGAGACCAACTTATGGGCGGAGTGTTGCCCGACAGTCTGCTGCCGTTGGGTTTAGTAGGTCCACAAAGCACCCTGTCTCATCTGTGATTGGTCCAATTGTGCCATACAAGGCATTTAGCCAATTGTTGACTAGCGTGTGAGTGTTTAACCACCACAGTAGAAAGCTCAACATGAATCTTTCCCCAATAGAGAACTACTCAGCACAACCCCTCTGAGGGGTCTAATGGGACCTTTTCATTCACTTGGTAGGATAATTCATGTTGCCTCATGAGGTAAGACAAATTCCAGAGATAGTCTTTGGTATATTTTTCTAATATGGTATAAAACATTAATCATATTTATTTACTAAGGTTCGGTCCCCCATTGTGACTAGAAAACGTAGAAATCTCGTTCATTAATTGATAATTTATCTGATTCTGTATACACAAATGACAATTCATGCCCCCCCCCCCCCCCCCCCCCCACATCTGCTAAATTTTAAACAAACTCCTGTGTGTTGATTTAAACCATCTAGATGAATGTTAGTCCTGGCTGTTGGATTCTAATGATGTTTTCAAACTAACTGTATTTCTTCTGTTTCCTAGCTTCGCCTTATAGACTGGGGTTTGGCAGAGTTCTACCACCCTGCTCAGGAGTACAACGTACGTGTGGCATCCCGATACTTCAAGGGTCCTGAGCTGCTGGTCGACTACCAGGTCAGTCAGTCAGTCGTGCCCTATTGAACACGGCCCTATTTTCTCAGCTTTCTCCTAGAGACTATATTCCCCTGTGATCTTCCTACTGCGTGAGCTGGGGAACGGTTGACTCAGTCGTATATAGCTATGGTTCTTCTTTGGTTACTTTCATCCTCAGGAGATTGAATTAGATGCATCTGTTCTGTACAACAGGTTTATCCAGGAAATAAATTGTACAGTCAGAGCAGATGTCATTTCACAACTCGCCCAGAACACCGTCCCTAAAATCACGTTTTTAAAAATAAAAGGGGGTTTCTTTTTCTAGTAAAACTTATCCTCAATAACCCACATCTAATTTCATTCTACTGTCTCCTTTTCCTTGACATATTCGGCGATGTGTTGATGTACGTTTTTAATGTTGTGTCCTGATACCGTTCCCTGTTGACTGTGTCCCTGTATAGATGTACGACTACAGTTTAGACATGTGGAGCTTGGGATGCATGCTGGCCAGTATGATCTTCAGGAAGGAGCCTTTCTTCCATGGACACGACAACTACGACCAGGTGAGCTCAGCCACCCTATCAAATCAACCAAACTATGCATCAATCAATTGTATTGTATTTGTTTATAGTGCTTTTAACAAAAATATTTGTCACAAATTGTTTTAATAGTAACCCCGGCCTTAACCCCCAAAGAGAAGACACTTTAGTTTGTTTAGTAAATATTTTCTTAACTTTTATTTTTCTTTAAAACTGCATTGTTGGTTAAGGGCTTGTAAGTAAGCATTTTACGTTACAGTACACCTGTTGTATTCGGCGCATTTGACAAATAAAATTTGATTTGATTAGAATATGACTTTATTGTGTCTGCTGCTTTATCCCCTCTGATACACAACTAGTAGTAGTGGTCCTAGTGATATTCAGACAGCAGGGGCTGCCCTTCAGTGTTTAATGCATGTCATGTCCTATTTGTTTTGCAGCTTGTACGGATCGCAAAAGTCCTAGGCACAGAAGACCTGTATGACTACATCGACAAATACAACATCGAGCTAGACCCACGGTTCAATGACATTCTGGGCAGGTAGGTTGGTCTCAAATCGCCGAAGTTGTGTTAGTGTTGCGTCTGTCAGTGTGTCAGTTTGAGCAAGACGAGGCATAGAATCACAATGAGTAGTTATTTGGGATGCAATGTGATTTGTAGAGCAGCGATTCTGCGCATTCCGACTGCGATTGCCAATCTTAAACACGCACTGTGATCATTTATGGTCTGTCTTTCCCGTAAGCGGTGGGAGAGGTTTGAGGGGAGAGGCTGTGTCCATGTTGTATTCTGTCTATGACCATGAGGAGAGGCTGTGTCCATGTTGTATTCTGTCTATGACCATGAGGAGAGGCTGTGTCCATGTTGTATTCTGTCAATGACCATGAGGAGAGGCTGTGTCCATGTTGTATTCTGTCAATGACCATGAGGAGAGGCTGTGTCCATGTTGTATTCTGTCTATGACCGCTGAGTCTGTTTCCCAGGCATTCCCGTAAGCGGTGGGAGAGGTTTGTCCACAGTGAGAACCAGCACCTGGTGAGCACCGAGGCACTGGACTTCCTGGACAAGCTGCTGCGCTACGACCATCACGCCCGCCTCACCGCCCGGGAGGCCATGGAACACCCCTACTTCTGTGAGCTGCACCTCTTAAATAGCATACATACTTAACATGCATGGTTAGAGTGGAGGCCATTGATTCCTCCTACTTCTGTGAGCTGCAAGTCATTCGTACCTTACTATATACACTGCTCAAAAAAATAAAGGGAACACTTAAACAACACAATGTAACTCCAAGTCAATCACACTTCTGTGAAATCAAACTGTCCACTTAGGAAGCAACACTGATTGACAATAAATTTCACATGCTGTTGTGCAAATGGAATAGACAACAGGTGGAAATTATAGGCAATTAGCAAGACACCCCCCAATAAAGGACTGGTTTTGCAGGTGGTGACCACAGACCACTTCTCAGTTCCTATGCTTCCTGGCTGATGTTTTGGTCACTTTTGAATGCTGGCGGTGCTTTCACTCTAGTGGTAGCATGAGACGGCATCTACAACCCACACAAGTTGCTTAGGTAGTGCAGCTCATCCAGGATGGCACATCGATGCGAGCTGTGGCAAGAAGATTTGCTGTGTCTGTCCAGAGCATGGAGGCGCTACCAGGAGACAGGCCAGTACATCAGGAGACGTGGAGGAGGCCGTAGGAGGGCAACAACCCAGCAGCAGGACTGCTACCTCCGCCTTTGCAAGGAGGAGCAGGAGGAGCACTGCCAGAGCCCTGCAAAATGACCTCTAGCAGGCCACAAATGTGCATGTTTCTGCTCAAACGGTCAGAAACAGACTCCATGAGGGTGGTATGAGGGCCCGACGTCCACAGGTGGGGGTTGTGCTTACAGCCCAACACCGTGCAGGACGTTTGGCATTTGCCAGAGAACACCAAGATTGGCAAATTCGCCACTGGCGCCCTGTGCTCTTCACAGATGAAAGCAGGTTCACACTGAGCACATGTGACAGACGTGACAGAGTCTGGAGACGCCGTGGAGAACGTTCTGCTGCCTGCCACATCCTCCAGCATGACCGGTTTGGCGGTGGGTCAGTCATGGTGTGGGATGGCATTTCTTTGGGGGGCCGCACAGCCCTCCATGTGCTCGCCAGAGGTAGCCTGACTGCCATTAGGTACCGAGATGAGATCCTCAGACCCCTTGTGAGACCATATGCTGGTGCGGTTGGCCCTGGGTTCCTCCTAATGCAAGACAATGCTAGACCTCATGTGGCTGGAGTGTGTCAGCAGTTCCTGCAAGAGGAAGGCATTGATGCTATGGACTGGCCCGCCCGTTCCCCAGACCTGAATCCAATTGAGCACATCTGGGACATCATGTCTCGCTCCATCCACCAACGCCACGTTGCACCACAGACTGTCCAGGACTTGGCGGATGCTTTAGTCCAGGTCTGGGAGGAGATCCCTCAGGAGACCATCCGCCACCTCATCAGGAGCATGCCCAGGCGTTGTAGGGAGGTCATACAGGCACGTGGAGGCCACACACACTACTGAGCCTCATTTTGACTTGTTTTAAGGACATTACATCAAAGTTGGATCAGCCTGTACTGTGGTTTTCCACTTTAATTTTGAGGGTGACTCCAAATCCAGACCATGGGTTGATAAATTTGATTTCCATTGATAATTTTTGTGTGATTTTGTTGTCAGCACATTCAACTATGTAAAGAAAAAAGTATTTAATAAGATTATTTCATTCATTCAGATCTAGGATGTGTTGTTTTAGTGTTCCCTTTATTTTTTTGAGCAGTGTATATGTTTCTTTCCATGGTGCACAGGAATGTATTGAACTCTGAGGTCACGGTTGTGATGCATAGCTGCGTTTGTATGAAATATCTGCTGCATCTCTGTGGCCTTAGCTTGTTTGCTTATCATTGATGGGCTTTTCTGTCTGTGTGTCTGTGTCAGACCCCATTGTGAAAGACCAGGCGAGGATGGGCTCTATATCAGGGCTGTCGACTGGTTCTACCCCAGTCAGCTCCTCCAGTATGATGACAGGTAACACACAGGGTCTGATGATATCAGGTGTCTGCAGGGGTCATAACAGTATGTTGCTCTTCTGAAGAGATGATTCTACAGCTGGCCAAGGAGGACCATTCATTATATAAAATAGTATCAGTTCTTATGTGATCATTTTCTTCATAGGGAAGTCCCCAGACTCTTCCGCTGACCCTGTTTCCCCCCCTCTTCACCAGGCATCACCTCCATATCCTCGTCGCAGCCCCTGGCTAACGTGGCGGGCTCTCCTGTGATCTCCTCCCCCAGTGCTCTGGCCACGCAGGTCCCAGCCGCCGGGGCCCAGCCCTGAACGGTGCTCTCAGCCTGGGGCCCGGGATGGACCCGCTGCCCCTGTCTGGCCCGGACTACCAAGCCCTCAGCAGGGCCAGGCAACAATCATTTTTATGTTGAGTATAACAAAGAGAGAGAGAAAAAAGAAGATATTAGGTCCCCCTTTTCTTTTCCATAATGATATATTGAGATCCGGGCGCACAATGAGAGGGAAAAGAAGAAAAAATAAACATTACTTGCGTCTGTGTCCGGATAAAAACTGTAGCTGCATTCTTTCCTGATGACAGTGTCTAGAAATGCAACTACAATGTAGAAATTAAGCAAAATGGATAATAAAATTTATTTTATATGTCCCTAAAGTACTTTTGTTTGAGTTTTATTTTATGGGTCAGTTTAAAACAAATAAAAATAAATGGTTTTGGTTGTTTGTCTTGATTTTCTAGTGTGTTTTTGTTTTTTAATCAACCGTTAGTGGTCACATGAAATTATTCATGGGCTGCTTGTCACACTTTGTTTGTTAAATACATTTATTCTGTTGGTCATATGGTTTCAACATTGAATTTCTCTCGATAGAACGGCACCCCGGTAGTTATTTTCAGTGTCATCCGTAATGTGTTTATCACGAGGCAGTTTCACAAAGATTATGCTTGTTATTTAGTTTGAGGCTCATTGAACACCCATTTTGTACAAGAGTTAAGGTGACATCTGACTTTGTGTTTATAAAATGTATTCAATAAGCCCATGTTGTTTTTTACTATGCACAGTGTAGTTTACTGGCTAGTTGAGACTTCACTGACCCATTTTTACTAAATGAGTTGTTGACATGTTTGAAGCTGAGATGGAAAATGGAGACTGTGGAAAAAGTCCAGTTGACTTGATAAAAGATCATACACATAGGTTTCTCTAGGTCTGCTACAGTTTCTTACCTTCTGGAAAAGCACCCAGATAAATTATTGAATCTCCTTTTTTGTACAATTAAACAATAATATGCCATTTAGCAGACGCTTTCATCCAAAGCGACTTACAGTCATGCATGCATACATTTTTTGTGTATGGGTGGTCCCGGGGATTGAACCCACTACCTTGGCGTTACAAGCGCCATGCTCTGCCAGCTGAGCTACAGAGGACCACCATGTAAGTAGATATCAATGAGCCCCGGAATGGAATCGCTCACTCCGTAGCTAAAGGGTTATCACGAGTTCCAATTCTGAGATTCAATTTGGTTAACCGAGTGAGTTACTGAAAGCGATGTCGTGAGAGGCTGCAGCTCAAACAGTGGGTGAGGCAGAGTTCAGTGTCTGTCAGGTAGGGCTAGGGTTCAGTATGTCAGGTCCTGTGTGGCTCAGTTGATAAAGCATGGCGCTTGCAGTGCCAGGGTTGTGGGTTCGATTCCCACGGCGGACCAGTGTGAAAAAGTATGCACTCACTACTGTAAGTCTCTCTGGATAAGAGTGTCTGTTAAATTACACATGTAAGGTAGGTCTAGGGTTCAGTATCTGTCAGGTGGGGAAATTGAGGATTGTGTTCAGAATGATTTCTTTAAAATATTTGTTTTATTACTACTGGGAGCTACAACCTGAACTTGTCCAATAAGAGATGACTTTTATTATTTTTTTGCAAAACATTTCACTTCGGTGTGCGCTACTGAACATTACCCAGGTGGCCCGGTATGATGACCTGTAGATTTGGTAATCCATGACCTGTAGATTTGGTAATCTACAGTCGTGGTCAGAAGTTTTCAGAATGACACAAGTATTGGTCTTCACAAAGTTTGCTGCTTCAGTGTTTTTAGATCTTTTTGTCAGATGTTACTATGGTATACTGAAGTATAATTACATTTTTACATTTTTTTTACATTTTTAGTCATTTAGCAGACGCTCTTATCCAGAGCGACTTACAGTTTTAGTGAATACATATTTTTTTTTTTTTATACTGGCCCCCCGTGGGAATCGAACCCACAACCCTGGCATTGCAAACGCCATGCTCTATCAACTGAGCTACATCCCTGCCGGCCATTCCCTCCCCTACCCTGGACGACGCTGGGCCAATTGTGCGCCGCCCATGAGTCTCCCGGTCGCGGCCGGCTGCGACAGAGCCTGGATTCGAACCAGGATCTCTAGTGGCACAGTTAGCACTGCGATGCAGTGCCTTAGACCACTGCGCCACTCAGGAGCATTCCATAAGTGTCAAAGGCTTTTATTGACAATTACATTAAGTTTATGCAAAGAGTCAATATTTGCAGTGTTGACCCTCCTTTTTCAAGACCTCTGCAATCCGCCCTGGCATGCTGTCAATTAACTTCTGGGCCACATCCTGACTGATGGCAGCCCATTCTTGCATAATCAATGCTTGGAGTTTGTCAGAATTTGTGGGTTTTGTGTTTGTCCACCCGCCTCTTGAGGATTGACCACAAGTTCTCAATGGGATTAAGGTCTGGGGAGTTTCCTGGCCATGGACCCAAAATGTCAATGTTTTGTTCCCCGAGCCACTTAATCACTTTTGCCTTCTGGCAAGGTGCTCCATCATGCTGGAAAAGGCATTGTTCGTCACCAAACTGTTTTTGGATGGTTGGGAGAAGTTGCTCTCGGAGGATGTGTTGGTACCATTCTTTATTCATGGCTGTGTTTTTAGGCAAAATTGTGAGTGAGCCCACTCCCTTGGCTGAGAAGCAACCCCACACATGAATGGTCTCAGGATGCTTTACTGTTGGCATGACACAGGACTGATGGTAGCGCTCACCTTGTCTTCTCCGGACAAGCTTTTTTCCGGATACCCCAAACAATCTGAAAGGGGATTCATCAGAGAAAATGACTTTACCCCAGTCCTCAGCAGTCCAATCCCTGTACCCTTTGCAGAATATCAGTCTGTCCCTGATGTTTTTCCTGGAGAGAAGTGGCTTCCTCGCTGCCCTTCTTGACACCAGGCCATCCTCCAAAGGTCTTCGCCTCACTGTGCATGCAGATGCACTCACACCTGCCTGCTGCCATTCCTGAGCAAGCTCTGCACTGGTGGTGCCCCGATCCCGCAGCTGAATCAACTTTAGGAGACAGTCCTGGCGCATGCTGGACTTTCTTGGGCGCCCTGAAGCCATCTTCACAACAATTGAATCTCTCTCAAAGTTCTTGATGATCTGATAAATGGTTGATTTAGGTGCAATCTTACTAGCAGCAATGATGACGGTACGTGTTTCCTTGCAGGTAACCATGGTTAACAGAGGAAGAACAATGATTTCAAGCACCACCCTCCTTTTAAAGCTTCCAGTCTGTTATTCTAACTCAATCAGCATGACAGAGTGATCTCCAGCCTTGTCCTCATCAACACTCTCACCTGTGTTAATAAGAGAATCACTGACATGTCAGCTGGTCCTTTTGTGGCAGGGCTGAAATGCAGTGGACATTTTTGGGGGGGATTAAGTTCATTTTCATGGCAAAGAGGGATTTTGCAATTCATCTGATCACTCTTCATAACATTCTGGAGTATATGCAAATTTCCATCATAAAAACTGAGGCAGCAGACTTTTTGAAAATTAATATATGTCATTCTCAAAACTTTTGACCAAGACTGTACTATGCAGAAATCGCTCAGCCATTAACCGGTTGTAGTTACTCATTGCGTCCAGCAGGTGGCATCATTTCTTCAAGAGTAATTAAAGTAGTGAGTCAATCAAAACAAAGTGGATGACTGCTACCACGCTCTTACATAATCCAATGTCACACACTACTCCCACTCAGCTCTTACACCAGACAGCACCAGGAATGAGACATGATGACAAACATACTTTATTTCTATACAGCTGAAGGTGGTTTCTTCAAAAGGCAGACAGAAGAAGGCGACTTCAATGTGGAGAACAGAGACAAGGCTGTGTGTGTCTGGTGAGGTGTAAACTGACTACACCCTGTACAAGAGTTGACCTGATATATCAGAGAAACTGGGCTAGTGACTAGAAAACAACGCAGAACGTCCATTCATTCTGGTAGGCCTAACCAACTATGCCGATGGGGGCGGGTGGGATAAACCAAATCAAAAGTGCTTCGACAGGCCATGGTGACCCTTGAATTCAGCAACAGCTTTTTACTCCATGTGAATAGACTCAGCAAACAGCTGCCGTGTAACAAAGAGTTTGGTGCAGAGAGCGAAAGAAAGGGACATGTATTCAGTACAGGATATGACCATAGAGCCACCCAGTGCTCTACTCACAGTCTATGTCCCTTAGGTAGTTTCCCTTCGGTACAGATCTAGGATCAGCTTCCCCTCCCCAAATCCTAACCTTAACCATTAGTGGGGGAAATGCTAAACTGACCCAAGATCAGAGTCTAGGGGCAATTTGACCCTACTTCCTCCCATACACCCATTAGCCCTGTGAGCCAGTGTAAGTGCATAACAGTCCTACCTAGCCTAACATCAGTTACAAAGTGGAGATCCAGTACAAATAAACCTGTAGGTTATCATCCAAGTGCACCCCACCCTATTCCTATAACCATCCCAACCCCTCTGTTCTCATCTGCAAGCCCACTGAATATTCAAGCTAGAAAGGGGCATTATGACAAAAATATATTACAGTAAACATTCAGGTCATTGGAACAAGGAGTGAACAGACAACAGCCCAGTCCCCACTGTAGGCAGGGAGAGAAAGGGTAACCAGGCACACTAAAAAAATCCCATGATTCACATTGTTTTTATATTCATACGGCTACAGCTGGCTGTCTTTCAGACCATGAGTTGAAGCGCTACCACCGTTTGGTAGCAAGGGGCGTTGGAGGTACAATTACCAACTCAACTACAAGTCAAGTCATTTCGCAGCGAGGCACCACCCAATGGTTATGATGGAGTTCAATGTGGCGAGAGTCAACGTCCTATGCCACATCCACTCCAAGCTACCTCCACCTGGTCTTGGATAAAAAGTCAGATTCAAGGAGGGCTGGATCCATCGACCCCCTCAGTAAGCGCTGTCTTTAGGCACCAGGGAGATGTATCACACCCTTCCCTTGGTGGAGCTGCTCAGCTCAGTTCATGATTTATAAATCTCAAAGTTCAGTCAAAGTGCATCGGCTGTGGACTCGTCCGTCGTCGTCGGTATCCATTCGGGTCAGATCGGTCGGTGGCAGGCAGTTGATTGGCTGAGGTGGAGGAGGAGGGGAATGGGGGGGTCACATGATGCAGCACTTGTTCTTGAAGATGTGTGGGTCTTTGTAGCGAAGTCTCTGTTTGGGTCGGTACTTCTCCAGGTAGGTCAGCTGCTTGCTGTTGATCGCCCCTCGACGCTTCCTGGAAAACAAAAAACACATTGATATTCAAGAACAAGTAGCTACAGTGAGAGATCTGAACTCAACAGACCTCATCTGAAAAGGTTAATATCCTCTCTAATAATAGGGCCACTTATTCATACAAAACACATACATAACACTCATTTAATCAGAGTAAGAAAACGTGTGTCTGACAGCCATGACAATGAACGTAATATTACTCAAGAGCAACAAGTTTCATAACATGACCACAGTAGATGATGATCAAGAGAGCTTGGCAGAATAAAGAAGAGAAGAACAGAGGGATGGAAGGATACTCACTGTCTGATGAACTGGATGGCGTCCTCATATTTCATACCACTCTCGATCAGTGCCAACGCCACCAGCACCGGGGCTCTGCCAAGACAGAACACCCACAGCAGCCCAGTCAGAAACAACCACTAGCTACATCACACTACACTAACTGATATAGAAAGATTACTTTCTT